TGGAAAAAAGACGAGGCTCCCGGGCGGGGGGGGGGGGAGCAGGCTGCGGCGACATTTTTGTTTTGAAGTCAAATCAGGACAAACGTGAAAACATTACTTATATAGTTTTAAATATCCAAAAACTGTCTTCTGGAAATATATAACACTTTTTTTTTTTTACAATTTAGAAGAGCTTCTAAAACAGATATGTATATTTAACTTTGCAGATATTTTGAACAGCACATTGAATTATCAGACAGAGAAAACATTAGTAATGTTAAAACCCATGTTTGTTGTTCAAATGTAATATAAACACAAATTAGACTTGTTCAGCTGAAGAGGCGATGATTGCGCAGTGTGGTTTGAAATAGAAGCAGCTTGTTTATCTGTTCCGTAAGAGTGAAAGTAATGCAGGCTAATAAATAACACAGTCTTGTAATTAATGAGTGATTTTTAATCAGTAAAAGGTCATAAGCATGACTGGATATTTACGTCTTGATATCTATTTAGCCAAATGTTAGATCCTTTTATATAGGCCTACAATTTTAAACAATTTTGAATTTGTCATGTAAATCATTTGAAATATTTTTATGTTGTCAAGCCTACGTAGTGATTCGTGTAAGATACACACCATAGGCTGTAGGAGGTACATTTACCATGTAGTACCATTATCCTTTTAACGTCACATGTCAGCATTGAAAAAGAGGATCTCAAACAATAATAGAGGGATTACTGATATTACACGATTAAAAATGAGCGTGCGTATTAAAAAGCATTTGAAGTCATAAGCTGTATTCATAACATTAAGTGTGGTATCGCTCCACTGAAGTGCTATAATGTATTAGAAGGTATCTGGCAGAGTATAAGCCATATGAACACTATTCTAATCTTTTGGCTAAATGAAGAGACATGCATCCAGGCTAACATTATCTTGCCGTGATAGTTTTATCATCATGAGTGGAGTGGAGATAAACATTTAGGATGATTGGAGCAACCTGGATCCCCCACGTCACTCATTCACAGACTTCCTCTGCCATCAGACTGAAATACATCTGGGTCAAAGCTTAGCGACATTTTACATTTCTACAAAAACCTATAGCCTATTTTATTTTAATATATAATAGATTGGTTATGAGTGCAGACTCACAGGGCTTTAGAAGATAGATAAACCCGTGCAGCAGAGAAGACAAATGATAAATGTAGAGCTACCAAATGACCAAAACCAGAATACAAACAAAATAGCTGCAGGCTGTTGGTGTAAAATGTTTTTAAACTGCTTTTATAATAAAAAAACCCCCCACTAAGTTGGATTTAAAGAATTTTGTCTGTAATGATATGCACGTACTTAAAATCCCAGATTGCTGACTTACGCGTTGGTCAGGTCTACGTTTGCAGCAGAAAAACCCATTACATTACCCATTTCTTCCAACATTTGGGAGTCTAAATAGTGCTGATGTTTTGTCCCCTGAAAGCTGGCTATTTGATAAAAGCATGCATGCATGGCTGGGGCCGGCAGGGGGAAAGAAAGGCGAGTCTGAACCCTATTTTGCAGGAGGAGGAGGGAAAGGGGGACATTCTCAGGTCTAA